GGTGTCGTGCACCAACCCTGTGAGGTCTGAAGGTGGTGATGCGACGCGTAGGGGCTGTGCGAATTGCTGCCGCACGCGTTTGCGATCGACGGTGCGATCTCCCTAAACAGTGGCTGATACGTGGCAGCCTATGAGTTGTTGATGCTACGTAGGGTGTAGAACATGGTCGCGTGCAAGTGGTTGGGCTACGCATGCGAGGTAGCTGCGAGAAGGGGTAACACATAGTACGATGGCGGGTGTTGAGGACACGTGGGACAAGCAGGTGGTGAGATGGCGCGTGGTAGTTGTGTATCAGTTTTAGTTGTGAGTTGCACGTGGCAGGGGGGTAGTGGTGCGAGGCATACAATGCATGGAGAATGGACGGGCTGGATGTGGTATGCACTACCCTAATCTATGGTACTCGTTTGGCTGGAGGTATTGTAACAGTATTGGCGACTCGCGGAGCTGTTTACACGTGAACGGTGCATAGTTGGTGTGGTGGTGCGTAATCGTGCGGCTGTGGTAGGTTCGGCATGTAGTGGGTGTGTACGCTTACGTGGCAGGTATGGTTGAAATTCAGGTACACGTGGGCACGTGTACGTCGCCGCATGTTTTGGTTACTGGGAGGTATGTGAGGTGGGTGGTTGCGGTGCAACGTTATGGTGACCATCCGAGTAACGTGTGTGGTTACTGTATTCCAGTTGTGAAGTTGCCTGTACACTTGCGTGGCGGATGCGGGAATCTGCATACGATGTTGCCAGAAAGTGACGGGAAGGTGACGGTTGTAGTTACTGACGCTACCACTGTTGCTGAGTCAAACTTTTTTCTTGCGCGGAAAATGCAACTGCAAAGTTATGAAAGCGCCACTTTTAAGTTTTTTTTGGCACTTGCCTTTTCCGCGATGCGGACGGAACCTCCATGTGGGCAGAGGCAGCATAATACCATCTTGTAAGAGGCCCAGGAGACACGACACCGAGTCACTGTCAGCCCCAACTTACGATGAGAGTCAAGGCTATACATTGCTTGTGAACCGTTGCTGCTCGGCCTGTGATGCCGGAGGAAGGTCATTCCGTGCAATCGAAACCATGTCTGAACCAAGAAGGGAATAAACTTGCAACAAGTTTCCCTCGCTTATCCCCTTTCGATATCCAATGCCCTCTGGTCTTCTGAGCTGGCTCGAGTATTCTCTTGCAAGTTAACTAGTAGCCGATCAGAAAGCAGTACCGGCGCTCTCAACACCACCGCTGCAGTGGCGGTAGCGGGCATGCAGCATTCCGAGTCCTCTGAAGCCCTTCACTCGCCCAGGCCGGCCTCCCAATCCTCGCCGCTCAGCATGCAGCTATGGTCGCGAGAGGTGCGAGACGATGTGAGAGGTGCGAGACGATGCGAGAGGTGCGCCGGATTTCTCAAAATATAGTCTTGAAATTCCTTCCTTCTTTTACAGCTGGAAAAGGGAAGTGCGAAAAAAAACCTAAAAGTTACTGTTTCGTAACTTTCCAGTTGCATTTCCCGCGCAAGAAAAAAGTTTGACTCGAAAACAGTGGTAGCGTCAGTAACTTGCGAAGTGACTTTCCCGTCACATTCCCAACACAAACTGTACACTTCGGTGCAATTGTGAGGTATACAGTAAAGCAACTAGGGGGGTGGAAAACGTCGCCCTTGAGCAACCTACGTGAAAGTGTCACGGCAACGCCACGTGGCATACGACGTACTACACATGAAACTCAAACATGCTGACGTGGCTGCCATCGTACTCGAACGACAGCCGTCGGATCAGATTAAAATCGACGCACATAAACGTGTCTTGTGGGCCAATCAGAGAGCATTTTGGTGTGCAGAAAGGATCTCCCATTGGCTGACGATTGGCATTATCCGTTTCGATACATCCGTTATATTTCTAGTTTCATTTGAATGTTAGCAGTTGCATTAATAATATTTTACAACAAAACGTTCACACAAAAATAGTCTACTATCTTTCCCATGCAACAACAAATAAACTTCACAGCTAAAAATCATGACAATCAATGAGGTGATGCTTCCTGATATTGCCTGCAAGAAAGATAGCAAGGTTTAGCTTGTACAACATGCGCTTCAAGTATGCAGATCAGCACTCACCACATACCTCCACTCTGCTTACAGGTGTGCAGAATTGGGCAAAATATCACTTTGTGCAATTCTGCTTGTCGATAAGCCTGCTACAATAGGTGTACTCTGCAAGACATGCAAACCTTGCTGTTACGCAAGCGCACAGAAATTGCTCGAGCGGGGTTAGTGGTAAACGAGTTTGCAACTCACCGACACATACTTAGCCATTGCATTGTATGTCGACTGAGATGGGGTTGCGACAGGCTTGGTCTCAACATGATTTAGGGGCTGCAAACGTAGGACCACACCGATTAACATAAAAGAACGGTGCAAACATATGCCAATGAACGAACACCAGGATGAAATTAGACTATAGAACAGGAAACAAAATATGTACACCAGTACATCGCGTAGACAGAAACGTAAACCTCACCAGTGATACTATCACCTTTTGCCGCTCGCCACGCTGATAGCCGAATAGAAGAACGCACGTCTGGGATTGAGGTGAGAACAGAGGTGAGAGAAAGGGAGATAGTGAAAACAGGTGCACCTAAACGCACAAAATTTTCCGCCGCGCCGATACAGGACCGACGACAACGCTCCTGAGGGAAGCGCAAGAGATGCATGGAGAAAAGAGTCAGGAAGGGAAGAAACTGAAAATCGCATCTAGGGAAACAGCATCGTATAGCACTAACGGAAGATACTTACAACCATTACCGGTCCATCTCAACGCTAAGATAACTCGTTAGAACCAGTAGTCAGCGCAGCTGCAACAACGCGACGTTGATGACGCCACCCGTTATGAAGCCGTCGATAACGGCGTAGCTAAAGATGTCGATGACGAAGCCGATGCGGAAGATGCCCGTGGCGATCTGGATCATCCAATGCGTATTTCAGCTGTAGAAACAAAGCAAATGGGACGGGGAGCTGGGTGTTGCGGATGGGATGTGGACGCAAAAGAAAAAACGAGAAATAGTTAGAACGTAATGGAGGGGTGAACAGGGACTTCAACCCGAGATGTCCGCTTTGGAAAAAATGGAAACGCTAGAAAAACGTATACCTTTCGCAAGTCACCACTTGCTCATGTCCAGGGCGGAAACACTGATAGTCGTCGACCTGTAATGTGAAATGGGAGGTTTGGAGGGGGGGACGGAGTTGAAGGGGAGATGTCAGAAATTAGAAGGGAGTTAATAAGACTGGAAAACGGCAAGCAGTTTTAAAGGGGAATACATTACGAGCGAGAGCGCAGAAAATAACGACATTGAAGTCCAGTAAGAACAGATCTAGGATGCGGGAACTAGAGAAGCGGTGTACGGGAACTCTGAAACAAGAAACTGAGAACGAGGAAACAGATTGAGGGGATTTGTATGGGAGGAATAGAGGCGTTGTGGGGATTGGTGGGGAGGGGAAGCGACGTCTTTCGGAAAAGCTGGAGGTGAGGGGAGGAGGGGGGGGGGGGGTGGGGGGCATATTAGGTGGACGTTTGATCTGGCTGGATATGCTGACATGTACAAACAGAGGGTGTAGATTGCTTTACAGTTTACAGCCACAACAGTGATTGGTTGAAAAATATTGTACTGGATAACACGTCACTTGGGTTTGGTGGTTCAGATGCAGATTTGATATCTCCCGAAAGCTAGGTATCCAGGTTTACAACCTCGCTAAAATTCGTGGGGACGTAATGTTTTCGCGAGTACGGTTGTTCCATCTAACAATCAATGTTACTGTGCGTAATCGCTGGTTATCGTTTTTGACCGTGTAAAACCGTAGACCTGATGTTCAAGTCACTTTCGAGTGACTTTTTGGCGCGAGTGTTTAGGTCCGAAACTGGTGTACGGAAATGTGCGTTTTCGGGTCGTTGTTTTTTGGACACTTCGCGCAACAAAACCGCAAACTTTTCGCAGAAAAACCTTCGGACCCCCAATTTCGTCATTTTCCTTTTCCGCGATGTAAGATCACACTACCTATGTGCGTCAGGACACGTTCAGTGTGCCTTGCATTTACCCGCGCTCTTTCACTCTCCATACTACTATACTCACGAATGCCGCGGCATTCCACTCTGGGTGGGGCACCGCCTATCGCGCTGACTGGGCAGGAGGACGCCGTGCTGCTGCGCCACGCGCTGCAGTGCGGCACCAAGCAGTGGGGCGAGCTTGGGAGGAGCGGCCAGCTCAAGAGGAGCAACAAGTCGTGCTGTAACCGCTACATCTTCCTCCGAAGGTAACCTCCAGTCCACCCACATGCGTTTTGACTTGACACTGTATAGCTAGCGCCTGAGCCACATGCCTTTTCAGCGCCTCTCTCCTGTGCTTTGTGTGGTGATGGCAGGAAGTTTACTGACCGCTTTCGCCAGCACATCCTGCGAAAGCACCTAGAAGTTGTGGTATTCCCCCAGCACGTATCATTCGACAGAGAGTGTCAGCCGCTGCTCTGTCAGGATTTCAATCAGCAGCAACAGCAGCAACAGCAACAGCAGCAGCAACAGCAGCAGCAGCAGCAACAGCAGCAGCAGCAACAGCAACAGCAGCGGCTGCGTTTGGAGGGCGTGGGTTCAGATGCAGTGGCGTTCGGAGGGTTGTCGTTTGATGAGTGCATGATGGTGTTCTTATCCCCCAATGCACGCTGCTGCCGCCCACCAGCCCCAACCAACCTCTCATCTCTCGCCGCCCCTCCTGCTTCCCACGCTCCTCCTCCTGCTTCCCACGCTCCTCCTCCTGCTTCCCACGCTCCTCCTGCTTCCCATGCCGCGGCCTTCTCTCCTGCGGCTGCTCGTACCACCAACTCCCCCTTCCCCCATGACGCCTTCCCGGTCGCAGCTGCCTCCAACTCCAACGCCACTGCTCTGCGTAGTCCCTTGAAACGACCACGCGGCGACTGCCCGGGGTTGGGGGCAAGCCAGCCGCTGCTGAATGCACGTGAGAGGGGGTTTCTTCGAGATGGGTCTCAGCAAGGCGGGCTGCTGCGAGGAGTAGTGCGCAGCGAAGTGGTGTGTAGCACGGAGCGCCGCGGTCAGTCAGTGGCGGAGCAGTTCCAGCAGCACGCGGAGAGCGGGGACATGCAGGTAGCGGAAAACGCCCTTCTGGATGCTCTGCTGCTAGGGGAGGATCAGCAGCAGCAGCAGCAGCAGCAGCAGCAGCAGCAGCAGCAGCAGCAGCAGCAGCAGCAGCAGCAGCAGCAGCAGCAGCAGCAGCAGCAGCAGCAGCAGCAGCAGCAGCAGCAGCAGCAGCAGCAGCAGCAGCAGCAGCAGCAGCAGCAGCAGCAGCAGCAGGGAGGAATGAGGAACAGAGTGCAGCGGGTGTTGTGGCAGCGCGTTGGGTCAGAGGGTGCTCTTGCAGACGACGTGCTGCTGGGATTCACTAGCGAGGAGGACCCTGCTTGCACGCAGCATGCTGCTATCTCTGCTCCTACGCCCCCCCAGCCTGGCGCAGCGCTACAAGCGCTGATGGCCTCCCAACGCGCGGCCCTGCTTGGCTATGCTCCCTGCATTGGCGATTTCGACCCTTGCTGTGGGGATTTTGCTCCCTGCATTGGGGGTTCCCGGGACATGAGCAGCTACTACCTCAGCGAAACGCTTGCGTGGAGTAGTTGTGCCACACGGGAGCAGGAACCTGCGGACGCATGCATTGACTTGCTTGGCGATGGAAACAGCAACGGCAACGGCAATGGCAACGACAACGGCAATGATGCCCTCTTTCTCGATATGCCCACGGCTCACCTGTTGGTGGGTGGGCGTGCCCTCACCATGCCCGTTGCCAGTGGGCCTCTGCAACAGGCGCTGGCAGTATCTTGTGCTGCTCGGGCAGCCCTGGCTGAGTGGATGGTGGAGCAGGAAGGGATCGGAGATGCTGGTGCACAACCACACAGGCAGCAGGAGCAGCAGCAACAGCAGCAGCAGCAGCAGCAGGAACAGCAGCAGCAGCAGCAGCAGCAGTGGGAGTTTTGTCAGCGGCTGGAGCTTGAGCGCGTTCTCTCACTGCCACAGCACCAGCCACAGGTGCAGTTGCAGCCCCCGTCACAGCCTCTCTTACACCCACTGCCGCAAACCCCGTTGCCATCCGCCCCGTCTCAGCATCCACTCCCCCATGGCGTCACCAGGGCACTGAACACGCCCTCAAACCCAAGGGGCTTGCACATGCAAGCTCCCATGCGGCCGCGCCATGCCATGCAGCAGCAGCAGCCCTTCTCCCTGGCAGTCGGTGATCTACCAGCTATCTGCCAGCCCCCTGCTACCTCCGTGGCCGGATGTGGCGTTCACTCCGAGCGTTGATGCTGCCGCTCTGCATGCCACAGTCGGTCACCTGCTCAACTTGGCTGGGCGTGACTCAACTAACCTGTTGAAGGGAAAAGGCAACCTTGGTTTGGATTGGGATGGGGTTGTGTAATTTAATAGCTGTAATTTTATAATTTTGTACTTTTACTCTGTACAGGGAACTGTCATCTTGACCATACCCTTAAGGGCCTCAGCTATGAGGGTACTACCCGCCCTTTTAGTTGTACATATCGGTACCCCTATATCCGAAGACCAGTATGACGGTATTCTGTGTTTGTATGAGACGGAAATGAAGATAATGAGGCAAGACAACTCTTCACTATCAATCACTTTGCACTTGCTTGCACATCATCGCCCCGCCGCCACTCCACTCCTTCCACCCAACCCATCACCCTGGGCACAGCCTGCGCATGCCATGCCATGCACGGTAGCACAGCATTGCCCGCACACTATGACTCACACCATCACTCCCACACCACCATCCACTCCTATCACCATCCAGACCATGTGACCCACATCGTCGCGCCCTGGCGCGACTGAAACGCAGTGTGCGGAAGAAGCACGCAAGGAGCAGCCTGCTCACTTGACTCTCCTCTTGAACGCATACTCCACGTCGGCGGGCCCTGGGCCAACGCGGCGAGCGGAGGCGCGGATGAGGGCGCCGTGGGAGAGCATGCGCTGCAGCACACGCGTGATGTTGAGCGCATCGTCCAGCCCCACGTGGTGCGTGCCCAGTGGTGCCATCTGCAGCCCCTTCATCATCGGCATCATGCCCGACGCCTGTGCATGCATTGCCGTGCCATGCCGTGCCATGCCATGCGGTGCCATGCCATGCCATGCCATGCCATGCCATGCCATGCCATGCCGTGCCATGCGGTGTCATGCGGTGTCATGCCACACCATACAAGCGCGGTTGATGTTGAAGTGTACGCGTGTGTGGTGGAGGACAGGCAATGAGGGAGCGAATAGATGCCAGATCAGCAGCAAACAGAACAGCCAGTAAGAGGCTCGTTCGACATAAGGGTCAACAGAAACACCATACACAGGTCGAGTTATTATCTTTGCAGCCAGCTCTCTGGCGCAGTGAGTGAGGCAGCGCCACACCACACTTTGAACGTGTAGAAGTTGAGATACTCAGATACACGTGCTTGAGGTTGCTCCACTGCAGCACGCACACGGGCTGTACGCAACACACAACCCCGCCCTCACTGGCCTCTCCTCTCCTCTCCTCTCCTCTCCTCTCCTCTCCTCTCCTCTCCTCTCCTCTCCTCTCCTCTCCTCTCCTCTCCTCTCCTCTCCTCTCCTCTCTCTCTGCACCAAGACAGTCGCACACACCTTGCGCTTGTAGAAGTTGAGGTACACGTCCTTGAGGTTGGTCCACTGCAGGAAGTAGGTGGGCAGGGGCACCTGACTGTCGCGGCACTGCTCCACTATCTTGCTCTTCACATCCCAGTTGCCACACGTCACCACTATTGCTGACCGCAACCCCGGCCCGTGACCCAACGTTTGCGCTGCTACTGCAGGCGGAGATGCTGAGACGGCCACGGCATTGCTGAATTCATCGCCTCTGGAATCTTTCTCCTCTCTACCAATGCCCTGCTCCTCTCTCCCCTCTTCCCACTTCTCCTCCTCCCATACCCCTTCCTCCGTCGTATCTCCCGCTTCCAAAGCACTCTCCTCATTCCAGGTGGTGGTGGCGCTGCTGCTGTGATCCAGCAGGTTGTGCTGCTCCAGCCACTGTTCGAACTCCGCCAGCACTTGAGCAAACGGGATGGCCGTGTCATGCCACACCCTGGAATGAGGAAGGAGGGGAGGCAAAGAGAGAGAGAGGAGCAAGTGGAGGAAGTGAAACAATTCCAATGACCACAGTGGTGATGCTTGTTGGGTTGGGCAACGGCAAGGGCAAGCAAGAGGACATCTGTGATATGGTAAGAGCACACAGAGGTTGTAGCGATGAGCATGAGACGTGCGGTGCTGACCTGGCGAGTCCCCACGGGCCGTACTTCCCTCCAATATACTCCGCCTGCCGCTCCTGTGTCATGAGGTCCGGCCGCACAAAGCTGCAGCGCGAGGGGGGGCATGCAGCGAGAGGAGGAGGGGCATGAAAGGAAAGGGGGGGCATGAGACATGATGGAAGGAGTGAGGATCGGACTGGCAGAAGCACACAGGTTCTTGCTAAAAGCATGTGAGCGGGGGAACTCAGCTGAGGTGCATGGCCCCATTGCTGCATGGCCGTGTGGCCGCATGGCTGCAGGCTGCAGGCTGCACAGTGCAAGTGGGGTGGGGTGGACCGTGGGCATGGCACATACCGGTGGAAGTGGCTGACGACGCGCAGGGAGCGAGCGCACAGCAGCACGACGGGGAACTCCAGGATCTCCACGCGCCCTTCCAGGTCCAGCACCAGGAAATAATCAAATGCTTGCTTCCGAACTTTTTTTAGCTGCCCTGCCCGCATCGACAGGTCGGGCAGGTCGTGCGAAAACTTCTTCGTGTGGTCTTTGTCTTCGCTGAGACCGCACTTCCCTTGTGTGTGGTAGTAGCATAAGCGCCGCCACTGCCTGCTGAGCTTGCCTCCTCTCTCTCCACTCTCTCCGCTCGCCCTTCTCTCTCTGCTATGGCTTGTCTCTCTTGTCTCGCTTCCCTCCTCCCCTTTCCTTCGCACCTCCGTGCTGGCACCAACCTGCCGCCCTGGTTGCTGCTGCTCTCCTCTCTGCGCTCCCCCTTGCGCTCCCCCTCGCTCTCCCTCTTGCAACCTCCGTCGCTCATTCCCCGCCAATCCCACGCTACCGCCACTGCTGCTCTCTTGCCCGCAAGCCGCTGACGTCACCGGCCGCGCTGCTCCGCTCAGCGCAGCTCCCCCCTGCGCGCCACCGCAGCCCCGCCGCAACGGGAGCGCGCGCGGAGGAGAAAAAACCCTGAGTCCTGAACCGCGGTGGTGAATCATGGGTTCAAGCCAGGAACGGCTACTAGTCGAGCGCAGGGAAAATGGGCGCTCTCGATCGCGGTGGTGGCGCGGACGCGAGAACGAAGAAAATGGAAGCCTGCGTGGAGAAGAATCTCCGAGCGGCGTTTGTTTTAAAAATGCAGGTTCGTGGGAGGGGAGTTGTATTCTGTAGGCAGTGCCGCTGCTGGTGAGCAACATGGTGCGAACCAACGCCGGCCCCAAGCGCCTCTCGATGGCTGCTGCTGGCTTCGCGGCTAATCGGAAGACAACTACACGAGCAAGAGTAGCGGGACTTGCTCCCTGCGCGACGACCGCCGCGCGCGACCCTATTGCCGTGCCTAGCATGCCGCCCACCCGGCAGCCGCTGGCGGGCCGAAGGCGGGAGATCGGGGAGTGCGGCGTGCTGAAAGCTGCGAGGAAGTTAAGAAAAAAGAAACGGATGCAGGCAGAAGTTCGTTATGAGTTGTTGTACGAAGAATGCGTAGGAATGTAATAACGCGGAAGTGATTTAGGGCGGGTCTGAAAGAGTATGTGCAGGTGGAAAGGGTTGATCGAGAGCGGTCTAAGGGCGTGTCTGAAGTGCAACATAGAGTTTCGTCGGATTTCGTCGACGAGACTCAGCCGTGGGTCCCACGCTGTTGGGTGTCTGAAGTGCAGCCCAACGAAACCCGACGTTTCCCGACGAAACTCCTTTCGTCGGGGGACGTTGAACAGTAAAAACGGGCAGGCAACGAGTCACTGTATACATTTTGCGTGAGGAAAGGGTGTCAGCGCCACATCACCACACCATTGTTGCTCAACATTCTTACCAACACACCAACATCAAGACAAGCAGCTCAACATTTGGTTCAGTTTAGGACCTGAACAGCTCACCTTTGACATTACATACCATGCTGGAAATTTATGGGCAAGTGAAACAATTCCAAATGTGGCACGTGTGAGTTTTTGGTCGGTGTGTGTGTGTCTGAAGTGCGAAACCCTAAATTCGAATGTCGGGTTTCGATGGGATTCGTCGACGAAAGTATATTTTTCCCTTCTACGTGCACTTCAGACACGCCCTAACAAAAACAAAAGATGGGTGTGTAGGGTTTTTGCAAATACACCCTCATTCTCGATAGACTAGCATATGTTATACTGACCGAGACGCTTAGTGTAGCCGCAAAGGACCAAAGAAGGTCCTATCACGTTATAGTGACAATTTGACCCGAGGCGTTGCGTCAAGGTTATATACGTTCTGGAATGTTACTGCTGTTTTCAAAGCGGTTAAGACGGATATTCAGCGTTAACGGTTTTTTGTTTGCACAAGTCCTGCTTCCTCGTCTCGTGCGACTTTGCCCGCAACCAAGTTATCTCACCAGCCTGCTACGGCCAAACACTGTACCCAGTGCTTCCGCCGGTGAGATGGGTGAGAACGAGGGTGTACGTGCATTGTTAGAGCGTGGTACACCTGCTAGGGTTTTAGCGACGATCCTACGGAACAGTTGGCAATCTTACAGAACAGTTGCAATCCTACACAACTGTGTCCTACATACTTTAGTACAATTGTTGCTGTGTTGGGACACTGTTGTGTAGGATTGCAACTGTTCCGTAAGATTGCCAACTGTTTCGTAGGATCGTCGCTAAAACCCTAGCAGGTGTAACACGCTCTTAGACTCACCCTCGCAACAACTGAATAAACGAGGCCTAGCACAGATATACACCTTCGTTCTCGCTAGACTGACCTCAGTTATACTATCTTCAGCATGGTTGAAAGCGGTTAGAAATGTCTAGGTATGGTTCATTAAGACAATTTGAATAAGACAAAATCAGCCTACCAGACACTCGCTGGTGCAAAGGGTGAGAACGAGGGTGTACAAAGAGCCTAGCTAGGCGATGCCCCAGAATTGCGATGGTTGCTTGCCAAAAACCGGATGTGACCTTAGGTACGTTCGGCCGGAGGGCGAGGTCGTAGGACCGAGCCTGGAAGTCTAGAAGTTGGAGTTGTATGTGTCAAATCATATATTTGGTTAATAGGCTATAGTGAGTTCTACTTTAGAGAGTACAACATTCTAGGGTTACATATTTGTAACAACTCTTTGTTAGTTCGTCATTCCGCTAGGGGTAGTTCTGACAACACGCATACAAAGGTGACCCAGTAAGAAAATTGTAAAAATTCCTTCCAAAGTGTTTGCAAAGGTAACATAATTTAGAAATAGAATATACATATACAAAGAAAGAAACATGTAGCGGACCTTTATCTAAATCTGTTCTAACTGCGTATATCATTAGAATGTAGCAAGCAACTAACTCAGGAAATTTAACATGCGTGCTGCGATGTTCGTGCAGCGAAACAAAAAGGTTACAAATGCATGCTTGTGTAAGGATTTTTCGGCATTCCTTACCACGTGCTTCAACACCGCGTATAGGACCAGCCATTGTTCGCCCGTTACCGCTAACAGGGGCTTCGCCAACCTTTGCGCACTGCATTTGCCAAACCATGCATTGCTCCCTCCCGTCTCCCTCCCTCCCTCCCCTCTTCCTCCCTCCCTCCTTCCTTCCTTTCATCCCTCCCCTCTCCTTCTTTCCCTCTTTCCTTCCCTTTGTCAAACCCTTCCTCTTTCTCCCCCACAGCCCTCCTCTTACCTTCGCCCCCCCCGTCCCCTCATTCCCCCCTCCACGTTTCTCCTTTGATTGCACCCTGCTCCACGTTTGTTTTGGTCTCCCACCCTCTTGTGTCTCCTCTGCTCTACGACCTTCCTGTTCTTGCTCTCTTGCTAGTGCACTATCCAACAACATGCTAACAAGAGTCATATCCTCTTCTATAGGCGCCTTGTTGAACCTCAATACGCTGTGAGGGAGGGAGGAAGGGAGAGAAGGGGACGAGCAAGTGAGTGTGAGCAGAGGGGGTGGCTGGAGAGGTACACGCAGGTCATTGGTTACCATATGGATGTGTCATGTAACAGGAGGTGGGTTCTATGCGTAAACCATGAGAGATAGTGCGATATGTGTAGAACAAAAAAGGCACCGCCCTTGCTTGGGCGAAGTCCAACTTGCTGGAGGACGACGTCGAGTCTTGCTGGTCGATCGACGAGACACTGATAAACGTAATTAAGCTAGAGGAGAGCATTGCCGAGCAGAATGTTTCTTGTCGATGAAAAGTACTACTTCTTTCCGAAGTTGCAAATATGCAGATATTTTTTGCCAATTGCGACGGAGGGAATTTTCACCTGTCAAATGCTGGCAAAAATCGAACAAAAGACATTGAAAAACTGAATCTGCTACAAGAGTAAATTTGTGCACAACTATGAATGTTGCAGAACCTGAGCAATTAATATATGAGATATAAAGCACATAGTTGTTGACTCGGCAAAGGCACATGCTTGTCGAGGAACGTTTCTCCAAGGCTCAACCATCTAGTAGATGGTTTTTTTTGCATGTACCGAATTTCGCTCAATCAATTTCTCCTTAGTGTAACTTTGCTTGAATTTCTTCAAAGTCGATGAGCCAAAACACACGAATGCTACTCAGATTCTACTCATGCACGCCCATGCCCACCTACTCTCCCGTAAATTAGAATTATCCCCAAGGGGTTCTTACCGTGTCGCCCGTAATTAGAGCTTTGAGACCCTCACAGCATTGCTTCCTCTTGACTCTCATGCATTACCATTCCCAATGCAACTTCCTCTCGTCATTCTTTGAGCAGCCTAATTCCTTGGTTATTATCATGCCATGCCATGCAATCTCACCGTATGTCTCCAGTTGCCTTAACGACAACAAGCCTGAGGGTCCTATTCCAAGCAAGATTGCTCTACTGCAGTGGCTTTCATGGCTGTATGCACCAGAACCTATTTAACTAGCCCCTGATTATATTTCTTGTTCCATGCTGCCAAATGTTGGAAACTGGTTGCACTTTGCGTGTTAGCCTTAAAGGTCTAGGGTGTTAAGCTTCTGGTAAGTTGTATCCCCATCCAATCCAACCTTTTTCGGATCTGCAACCCTTTCCAAAGTCATCCAGCCAGAATTTTCTTGATTTGGATGGATCTTCCTAGAAATTACTTCCGATTGCATTGTATCCACCAAACCCGGTACCTATGGCCATGTGCCCTTCTCTCTCTAATCAGTCAATTCAACTCTCATTCTGACACCAAATCTATGAAGGTTGGAGAATCAGAGGAAGTGTCTCTCAACGGGAGTTGTGTTTGGCCCCGTCCTCGCTTGGGTGGAGTCGACCTCGTGGTCAGTTGTGCGGGGGGTTGCAGCCGACCTGCAGCAGTGGGCACGGGGGCCGCTGCAAGGGCGTGGAGCTGAGGGGCGTCTGGTTGAAGGGCGCCGAGCAGGTGGACGCCGACCAGGGCGTCTGCTCGGCGTCCTGATCGCCTGGACGCCGACCAGGGCGTCTGCACGGCGTCCTAGGAGGAAGGACGACGAGCTCGGCGCCTGGACGCCGACCAGGGCGTCTGCACGACGACGAGCTGGGCGCCTGGAGCGGTGCGAGCATTGCTGCGCTGGAACGCGGTCGACCGTGCTGCGCTGGAGGTCGACCAGCAGCCTAGCTAGCTCTGATGTAGCCTTGCATGCCAATGTTGTTGCTATCATTCTGAACTATCATTGTGATGTTTTCCTAGTGGAACTCTTGCCAATTCTCCCCGTAAACTAGCAAGTAGTGTGCGCACAAGGAAACAACTCAGTGAACGAACGCAGAGATCCCTCTCACACACGTGCCTTCCCCGTAGTCAAGCTCCCGTTGCTAGAGTTATCTCTGCATGGTGCGGTGAGCGTGGAAGACACAGCGACGTCACCTTCGGTTTAGCCGACTTGGCACGTACCCGGCTTGTTCGTAAGCTAGCGGCTGTGTTGCACGCCATGGTGGACCGCGTAGTTGAGGCGGGCGTTATGGACACCTTGGAGGCATGGCTGGAGGATGCGAGGAGACGCCATGCGGCGAACGAGTACGGGACTCTCCCGCTGGCGGTCGTCGAGGCCGGCATCCGCGCCCTGTGGGTGGCGGAGCACCCTTCTCGACCGACGTCTCCTCAACCGGTGAACAACGCAGGCGGCGTCGACGTGGGCGTCAACGCCGGTGGTGACCAGGTCGGCAGCAGTGCGGGAGGCACGTCGAGGCAGAGAGGTGTGATACACGCCGATGAAGTCGGCGGCGTTCAGGCGCGAGGGATGCAGTCGTCGGAGGCTGCAGGGGCCTCGCAGGGCGGCGTCGGAGGCCAAGGAAGTGGATTGGCGCCGATGTCGGAGACACACGTGACCGCGGGAGGGATTTTTCCGAGCTACGGCTACTTCAAGTTTACACCGGACAGGATCTTGGTCACCCCCCTGCTCGTCGGTTCACCCGACATCCTCATGTGGAAGGA